TTTATGTTATCTCAGTGTCATCGCACGTCAGTGCAAGGCCCTGCTGTCACCTCGCTTTGTCACTGGAGAAGAGGCGAGGTCTACACAGCAGCCAGGGAATAAAACGTGGGCTTGGAAGCAGGAGGGGGTGATGCTAGGCCTCCCTCCCAAGCTGTCCATCTTGCGGACCACCCGCGCGAGGACGTTAGAGCCCCAAGACCATGGTTTTCTCCTGGGGGCAGATGGAAGGAACCCGGGGCTGTGCCTCACTTGGGGTCCGTGCGGCACAGCTGGCCCGCGGCTTACCTTTGCTCCTGTTCTGCTTTGTTTTCTCTCCCATTTGGATTCCGTCTCCCATCCTCTTTATGCTGCCGGCACACCTTGGGGAGTGTCTATCTTCCCAAAGGTTAGAAGCTTTTAAAGAAGAATAATTCTTAATAATCATTAAACTTGTTTTGGGTCCTAATTCTAATGTGCAGACATAAAGCTTATGCAGCACCGAAGCTGAAACAGACGTAAGATGAAATAGAGAACAAACCAGAGAACAAGGTCAGCGAGACTGGCGGCGGGAGCACTCGCTGTGGGTGCCCTGGGACTGGGGCTTAGCGGGGAGGGGGCTGCCAGCGGTGACGACAGGTAGGACAGCGCAAGACACTGCTGTAGGACCACCCCCTGTGCCATTCCCTGGCCTTGCTTCTCTCACGCGCTCTGGTCTTCTCTCTGAGGCATGCTCGTGCCCACACGCGGCCTGTAAAGCTGCAGGCCAGGGCCTTCTCCTGGGAGCAGAGCCTGGCTCTCTCTGCTGCCCGCCCCAGGTGATGGGTGCCTGCAAGTGAAACCAAGTGGCCGGCTGCGGGTGTGAACGCACAGAGACACCACTCAGGTCTGGTTCTGTGTGGGAGATTTCTTATTCTGACTCTGCCACCGCATGTGCAGAAAATTCTGTTTGTTCAAATAAAGTCTCCGAGACAGCACATTTCAAGTTAATTTTTGTGACATGTGGTATGATTTCCATCAGCTCGTGTTTGCTGAGGCTTGTCGTGTGACGTGACAGGTAATCTGTCCTGGAGATAGATGTCCTGTGTGCATGAGAAGAGTGTGTTCCTGCAGTGAGACTGGCAGAGAATATGGTGACTCTGGACCAGGAGTGGCAGAAGCCACAGGTCTCAGGAGGCCTGCCCTCCCTCAGCCCACCTCGTACCCGCTGAGAGCTTCTATCCTCGGGAACAGCACTGCCGGGTCATTTTGCAGCATAGAATCCAGTCATCGGCCCTGGGCAGTCTCTCCGTGTCTCTTTCTTAAACTCGCTGCTGATGACTAATTTCCTGCTAGTTGTTCCAAAGGCTGTGTGTGCACTCCTTTCCCAGGTGCTCAGACAAGTCACGGCCGTGCTGCCCTGGCCTCACCGATGCCCTGGCACTGGGACCAGCCCCGGCCCCCGCGAAGTGCAACCCCTTCCTTCGCCATGGGCACAAAACACTCTCTGTAACCAACATTCTGATAATGTCTATTCCAAGTGACAACAAGGCACAAAACCATGGCTTTCAACTGGGGGCCATTCTGCCCCCACCGGGCCCCATTCTGCCTCCACCGGGCCCCTGCCAGCATCTGGAGATACTTTTGGTTGTCACGACCAGAGGCCAGGGCTGTGCTCCTGGAGTCTCATGGTTGGAGGCCAGGGATGCTGCTCAAATCCCAATGTGCAGGACGGCCCTGATGACAAAGGGTCAGTGCGCTCCCATGTCGGCAGCGCTGAGGCTGGAGAGAGCTGACGTGAAACATCTGTGTTTTAACTCAGAACTCACAGCAAACATGTGGATGGTATTGGGCCTCTCCATTTCTAGGCCACAGGCTGTGATGAAACCAGTGTCCTCAAAGACCATACATCAGCAGGGCCTTCTTTTGAAGTTCACATTAGGAACCACTGAAGTTTGTGGCCCAAGGTCTCACCCTCATCTTCACATTCGAAGTATTTGGGGCCTGTAATTTTTGTTCCACAGGATGAAATAGAGGTCACCAGGCTGTAGCAACGGGGACGGTCAGGGTGTGAAGAATGTGGAACGTTAAACAGCTGTGTGTCCCCTGGGCTCTTTCTTGTCCTTCAGGATGGACATCCAGGTCTCAGCCACCCAACAGGCCCAGGAAGCCCTTTCTGCTCCTTCACCACCAGGCGGCAGGGCTGGCCTGCCCAGGCTGCTCAGAGGGGGACTGTGCTCTCGCTCTCGCTCTCGCGGTTACCTGACACCGCTGGCTTTGCACTCATGTGACATTTGTCCTTCAGGAGTAGGTTTCACACCCACGGAGTCAATCAACTGTGGATTGAAAAGATTCAGGAAAAAAAATCCCAGAAAGTTCCAAAGAATGGAGCTTGAATTTGCTGCATGCTGAGCACAGGGCTGAACCCGCATGCAAAAAGCAATGCGTGGCTTGCCCTGGGGTCACCTGTGCAGACACAGGTTGTGCTCCACCTTCTGTACACGCTGTCTACATTGGGGACTTGGGCACCCATGGGTTTCAGTGTCCATGGGGGTCCTAAAGCTGACCCTGAGGATAGCAAGTGACCCTGTGGTGGCTTCAAGTCGGTGTGGAGTAGGGTTCTCTTGTGTGAGTTTCCTGTAGTCGGGTTCTCGAAGTGCTTTAGAGGTGACTGTGGAAGGCGGGGAGCCTGTGCCACTTGCAGGTGAGGCCCCCTGGGGCCCTGACAGGTGCGGGTGCATCCTGGGCTCAGCATAGTCAGTGTCTTCCTCTCAAAGCAGCTGTGCCCTCTGCCCAGGCTCCCTCTATTCGTGAAACGTCACTCATTCCTCTGTGTGACCACCGACACCTGCGGGTGCCCAGGGAACCAGACTCAGTCCCACCTGGGGGCTTGGTCAATAAGACAGACAGGTGCCAGGCCTGTGGATCACACATTCGTGCATGTGCGGCCCCACATGCAGATACCTATTTTATGAGGGGACGGTGGAGAGTGAGAGATTAAGCATGAATAGGCTCACTGAGAGGCTGGACTTCTTGCAAGTGCCTGGACAATGGGGATGCCTACACGGTCCGGGAAGCCCATCGCTGCAGAGCATCAGGCTCCTGTGAGGCCGGGCTGTGTGTGTGTGTGTGTGTGTGTGTGTGTGTGTGTGTGTGTGTGTGTGTGTGTGTGTGTGTGTGTGTGTGTGTGTGTGTGTGTGTGTGTGTGTGTGTGTGTGTGTGTGTGTGTGTGTGTGTGTGTGTGTGTGTGTGTGTGTGTGGCGTCAGATGACCTGGTGCAGCCAGAGCAGTGGTCGGGGCAGCACGGGGGCCATGGGACGTCAGCAGGCCCACTCACGGGGGCTGGTGTGGGCCACGGGCAGGCGGACGCGAAGCCACTGTAGAGTGACGGGGAGGTTGGGCTACATTTGCACCTCGACCGTGTGGCTGGTGGGCTTTTGGCTCTTGGGGCAGGAGTGGAGGCTGAGAGAACAGGGGCCATTGCAGAGCCCCCAGAGACAGAGTTGACGGTGGACTCCAGAGGGCAGAGCCGGACATGTGGCTGGCTGTGCATGCAGAGGCAGATGGGACTGGCAGGCACATTTAACTTTAGGGCTGGCCGACAACACTGGGCGTTGAGGGTGAGGGCTCCCTGTGTGATGCTGAGGCTCTGCCTGAAGTGGGCTTTGAGGCTCCTCTCAGCCCACGAAACTCCCTCCTCTGGCAACACTCATACTGCGGGCTCCAGGCCTGCCACCGGGCACAGGCCTTTAGAGCTCAGCAGGAGCAGATGGGGTGCCAGGCCCTGAGTACACACCAACGGTGGCGAAGGAGGAACAGACCCGGCCTCCAACCCTGGACGTGACCCCGGGTGAGTCTCGTCTCCTCTCGGGGCCTCTGCTCTTTTACGTAAGACACATGGATGGCCCTGCAAGGGGTGGTGAGAGTTCCAAGGCCCACCCGGTCTGCCTCGGACACCTGTGTCGACACAGAACAAGCTCTCTGTGTAGGTTGTGTAAAGGCGTGGGGATTGTCCCATATCATATCTGAGTGGGGTGTGGCTCATGCCCCCAGTGAGTCAAGGAAGTCACACCTCTATCCCCAGGGTGCCCAGAAGGGAGGTCTCCTCTCTACGCATCTGGCCTTGTCTGTATTTCTTCACTGTTTCCTGCCACTTGACCCACCCTGGTTTCTCCAGGACCCTACACGGCCATGCCCGTGTTGCCTCCCAGTCACCCATTGACACCTCATGGGACTTCTGTGCCGACCAGCTTTCTTGACACCGTGGACACACCCCGAACCAGAACCAGGAAACAATTCTCTTCCCCAGCTCCTTAAAAGGCCGGGAGCCCTGGCTGGCTTTATGGAGCTCTGCACGCCAGTGAAGCCTGACGCTGACCTGGAGACGGAAGGATCTCGGGACAAAGGTAGCCTCTGCTGCTTCTCTGCGCAGCGTGGCCTCTGGGCCAGGGGCCTGGGACCTGAGGCACAGGGCACCAGAGGGCCCTGAGGCAGGGAGAAAGGCTTACACCAGTTCTCAAGGGCACTGTGGTCTTCTTGGGGACTGTCCTGAGTCTCCCAGAGGCTCAGAGCTAGACATCCCCAACAGTCGGATACTCAATGGGGCTTGTGGTTGTCCATGGGTTGTCCATGAGAAGCCTGTTTGGGTGACGGGAAGTGTGTGTGGGGGGTCAGGGAGACGGGTTATTTAGGGTGCTGGAGCTTAAAATTGATGTAACTTGTGACTTACCAGCAGTGTGGACATAACACACTTTCCTTCTTGATCTAAACCCAGAGGCTCGCTGCCTGAAGGTGCCTGGGTTTGGGGCCTCTGGGACCTCCTGCAACCCCTGAAGTGATGGTGAGGGGGCGCCCCAAGGCCATCACAGCCCGGACAGCCAGGATGCCCAGCCAGGGCGAGTGGTAGCTTCTGTCTGAGGCCGTCTGGCATGGAGCATTCTGGCCCGTCCTTAGCCGAGCACAGGGCCGCAGGCAGCTTCCTCAGGAGAACCCTCACACAATTCTGGGGCGGGGGACAACAAGTAACATGTTTTCTCCTTTCTTTACAAAATCGGCTGCTGATGGTCCTTGCCACCGCCTGCTCTGCTTGTCCTCTTCATGGAAAGAACCGGAGCTGGCATGGCCACCACACAAAGTAAGTGGCGAGTGACAAACCAGCCTGGAATGTGTCCGTCTGGCCTCACCAAGGACCAGAGGCAACACGGACCTGTCTTTTGCTTAATTACAGGCACATTTGCTAAAGTACTCGGACTATGAAACCTATGCTTGAAAATTTCAGCGCCTTTAGCTCTTGTCTTATTGTGTGTATTTAGGATTGTTTATTTATTTTCATAGAGAGGGTAAAGAAAAAGACAGACGGCACACTGGTGACCCATTTAAGTATTTTTGGTTTTGTCAGTACTCCGAGACTATTAATCAGAAAAAAAAAAGTGGCCATTGCTGCAGAAAGTCCCTGGGGGCCACTCAAGCCTCTCAGGTGCTTGGTTCCCCAGACCAATCCCTGCCTTTCCCATCAGAGCCTTTCTCAGACCAGTAAGCCTACCCTGGAGCTTCAAATCAGGACTGCTGCCACCCTTATCGCGGGGGACACGTGCCCAGATTCTGGGCCAATGCCTAGATGTGGACAGCACTGAACGCTCCCCTGTTCTCTCCTGCACTGTGGCCATTACTAAGTAGAATAAGGTGACTCGAACATAGGCACTGCGATACCATGACAGTTGATCTGATCACCCAGGTGGCTACCAAGTGACTGGCAGGCAGGGTGTGTCTACGTGTGGAAAAGGGATGAGTCACATTCCGGGCAGGACAGAGCCGGACGGTGTGAGATCTCACTACCTGTTCAGGATGCCATGCAGCTTAGAGCTGTTCATTTCTGCTAGGCCACAGTTAATCGCGGGCGACAGACTGCGTGACTAGGGGTGGCGAGCCCTGGGCTCATCTGCACTCGGTGCTTGATTGTCTCCCGGCAGGCATGGGAAAGCCAGGACTGTACCGCATTCGCGACCCCCTACAGATGGTGTGGGTCCTTCAGGGAAACACTTTAGTCGCAGTTCCTGCCAACAGCAACGTCAAGCCTGGTGAGTGACAATTGCAGCCACTGTTGCCTCTTAAAGGGACGCTGGCCTCACTGGGATAGGGCTCGGCCTGCATGGGCCTGGCTATGGTCCCTCTGGCTTCTGGGCACCAGCTCAGTGTCCACAGGAAGGTGAGAAGGGTTGGGGTGGTTCTCTCCCGCCAAGGGAGCCATGCAGCTGGAGGGTGAGGATGGCAGAGGGCCACACCCAGAAGGACTGTCTGTCTAGCCAGCAGCCGACTGCCTCCGCGGAGCTTGCCTCTCCCTTTATACTCCAGCCCCCACCCTCAGAGCCCAGCCCCTTCACCTCCCTCCCCCAGACCCACAGCCTGCAGTCTGGTGTCCTCACTGCCAGTCCTGGCAGTGTCCTTCCGCTTTCTCTGCAGAACACCCAGTGCGGGAAACCTGAGCTCGTCTTCAGTCATCCTCTAGCGCCCAAGGGACTGCGAGCTGGCCTCTACCAGTCAGGCATTTGTGCCCCCAGCCCAGATGTCTCCTCTGAACTTCCCCATGTCCCATCAGTGTCCTCTTGGTCACCTCTCATTAGTCTGTCCCAACTGCAGCCACAGGTCTGACCTCCCAGAGCTGCTGCTGGACGGTTCCACCCTATCTCCACTGGCCGCACGCCATCTCCCTGCTGCCCGAGCTGGCAACAGAGGCGCACCCTCCATTCGTCCCTCTGTCTCACCAGCCCCTCGGCTGGGATGAGTCTGTGCGGAACAGCCTCATCTCATACCCTTCGTCTCTCATGGGACTGCAGCCACCGCTCTGTCCCTCTGCCCCCGCTCCCAGCCCTCCACAGAGCACTACAAGTGACGCCTCACTGTGTGACCTGAAGGGTGTCATCCCCATGTGCTTGTGATGTGAGGGTGGGAGTGGGTGTCTCAGGCTCACAAGTCTTCCTGAAGCCTTGCATGTAACAGGCTCTTCCCCACCTGCTTTCACCTATGACACCCCACTAACCCCCCCTCATCGTTTACCAGCTTTTTCTTAGCTTTTAAGTCCTGGACTGACTTCACCTCTGCAGAGAAGTCTTACTCAGTTTTTCTATCTAAATTCAGTTTCTCTCCTACTGTCTCAGACCTTGGTCACTTCCGCTGATGCAGTTGATTGCGATTCGGGCCAGTTCTCTTCTTACATGTCTTTGTCTCATTTTCCATGAAGGCAGTGACAAATGTCCCTTGTCCTAAGCTAGCTCCCCATGCCTACCCACTGAAAACTGGGCTGGCTCCTGGGCTGGCTTAGCCAGGAATTAAACCCAGCTGACAGTGACAGAAAGCCCACATCACCGGCACTCATGTAAAGTAATTTCTTCTTGTGTGGAAGAGGCCTGAGCAGGCGGCTGAGGCCAGTGCAGGGGCCGTGCTGCCTCTGCAATGCCAGGTCCCCTCAGCCCCACCCAAGAGCAGGAAGATTCGGAGGTGAGGCAGCGTCCTCCCAGCCACGTTGGGTCCCTTTGGAGAATGCCCTTAGAGACCTCCACGCACTTAGGCGCACAGCTCATGGGCACATGATCAAAGTCAGCTGCAAGGCTGGTGGGGAATTTGGTTTTTATTTCTGGGAAGTGATGTGCCCTGGTGACACCTGGGTTCTTGTACTGAGGAAGAAAAAGGGTTTTGGCTCTCGATGGACCATGTCTACCATGTGGCTCATTGAGGAGCCTGCTGGGGGCCTGACTGATGAGGCGAGGGGAGGCCAGGACTGGCCTCTCTGCTGCCTGGAGCTTGACGCCTGTTTCCGTCACCTGTTCCAGTTACCATGTGCTCGGTGCCATGCCAACACATGACATCTGGCGAGAACAGCCATATATACCTGGGCGTCGAGAGCAGCGGCCTCTGCCTCTTCTGCATGGATATTCAGGGCCAGCCCACGCTGCAGCTGAAGGTGAGAAGTGCTGTGAGATGACTGTTTATCTCATTCGGTGTGTTGCTAAGTAAAAACAACTTGTTTTCAGTCCTGAGTTGTGAAGTGCCAGGAAGGAAATTTGACTTGGCTTGTCCCCAAGTCGACATATGCTCCCTTTGCAGTGGGTGTGACACTTGCCGTAAGGTGACAGCATCCTCCGCATGGCAGAGGTCACTCGTGAGAACGGTTCAGGAAGGCCAGGGACAGGTGGCCTCTCCACTCGCCATCCCTTTTAACTGTCTCCCAGAAACCCTTGGGGGGACGTGTGCTGCCAGCCCAGAGTCTGTGGGTTCCATGCCTGTGGCCCCTACACTGGAGGCAGCATGTGGTCACGAAGCTCATTCTTCTGCTGTGATGGGAGCTGCAATGGACAGATGCACGAGACTTACCTGCAGATGTGCCCAGCAGGAGGGCATGGGACAGTGGCTGGTGCTGGGGCAGCAGGCACCAGCTTGAAGGACCAGAAGTGCCGGCTATGGGATCCGGGCACGGGGAGCCGACCCCTGCGTCCTGTCCTTCAGCTGTGCCCCTCCACTGGGGAAGGCAGCCACTGGTGGGTCAGTTTGGCACCGTCCTCCCGCTACCCGCTCCAACGGGCCTCTTTCCTGCTTACAGGAGAAGAATATCATGGACCTCTATGAGGATCCCCACGTGCAGAATCCCTTTCTGTTCCTGCGAGCCATGGAGGGTGCCACCTCCACCTTTGAGTCTGTCGCCTACCCCAGCTGGTTCATAGCTACCGCCTCTGTGGGGGGGCAGCCCGTCACCCTCACCAAGGACAGGGGCAGAGACTACAACACCAACTTCTACTTTGAGCCCATGGGGTACAGCCGCCCACTGCGGGTACTGGGCCAGGGCCAGAAGATGAGCAGCAGAACCTCTGTCTGAGAATGTGGTCATCCCAGGAGGCCACTCACACTGACATCCATGGCTGCCTCATGCTCACCATCCAGTACCACCTCCAGACATGCGAGTGTGACACCCGACAACCGCTTCTTATTCTCTCTGCATCTTGTCCCGCCACCGCCCGCTGCCAAGCTTGTCTGGGATCACGCTTGAACCTCACTTTGCATCCTGTTAGCCTGCCTTTCCCTCCGGTCACTGCTGTGCTTCGAGCAGTTGTGGCCTGGCAAGATGCTGTCTCCATGGCACCAGCCACCTGTCTCCCTGCTCCAGGCCCCCGGGATACCTGGGGAAGGACGTTTGAAGGGACCTGCTTGGCACTCAAACACGCACAAACCTGGAAGTAAGAGGGAACCGCTCCGTGGGGACCCTGCACAGTGCGGGTGGGAGTGGTGGGAAAACGCCTCCCCCGATCACTCAGTCATGCAGGCTGTGCTGACATGCAGTCTACCTACATGGCCCTCGAGGGTCCCAGCAAGATGGAGTCAGCATCACAACGGCAGGGCTGAGCCTGGGGACATCTTGGTAGCTCTCCTCCTTTCCTTGTCTCAGTTTCCCCAGACGCCACTTCTGTCCCCTGGGACCACTTCTCACCATCCTGCATGCAAACCCTTGTCTTGGGCTCTGTTCTCTGGTATAACCCCCAGGCTGAGATCGAGTCCACCAAAGCCAGCTCCTTTCCCCGGCTTTGCTCTCGTGCTTTTGTGAACCTGTCAAACATGTCTGCGCCCCGTGTACTCCACCTGCCATGTTTCTGACGCCCCCACCTGTCTGCAGTGTGCAGAGGCCTCTTACATCCCCAATGCAACGCAACAACTCCTCTTCCTTGAGATTCGTGGCACTTTGCCTTCTTATGTGATACAAGTCAGTGAGCAAAGCTGTGTTGCCATGAACCTCACTTATAGACACTGAAATTTGAATTTCATATAAATTTCACTGGCACAAAGTGTTATTTCTATTTAAAATTTATTTCACTCATTTAAAAAGGAAAAAAAAATTCTTAGCTCATGGACTGCACAAAACCAGCTGGTGGGCCAGATTATGCTTATGGGGCAGTCTGCTGACTCCTGGTCTAAATTGACCTGAATATCTTAATCCCTCACTTTCCTCTAAGAAATAAAAAATTAATTTATTTAAAGCACACAAAATCGATCTGAAGTTAAGTCTCATAGAATATAACATGCTGAATGATAAATAAGTGAATGTGTTCGAGCGTTCGGTTTTCCTGCCTAAGAGGAAAGAGGTACGGTTTGTGATTTGGATAAACCTTCCCAGTTTCTTATGTTTATCCTTAAAGGGGACTCAGTTCTCACCCAGGGAAAAACGAGAGATGTTGCAGATGAGAAAACAAGGCCCGGAATCAGATTCTGGTCAAATGATTTTCACCAGGTGCCGAGACCATTCAGGAGGGAAGGATAAGTGCTGTTGGGGCTCTCAACATGCAAAAGAATGAAGCTGGATGCTTCCCTTACACCAAACACAAGAACCAACTCAATGTGGACAAAAGACCAGGACATAGGAGCTGAGCCACAAAACCCTTAGAAGAACACAGGAGAGAAGCTTCATGATGTGGGATTTGGTAGTGATTTCCTGGATATGCTATCAAAGGACAATAAAAGGAAAAACATACATCAGACTACATCAGAATAAAGACTCTGTACACCAAAGGACTCTATTAATGAAAGTCTTTTGAATGAAAGAATGAACAAGCTTCCTTTTACTGAGAATCATATATCTGATAAGAGGTTAAGGTCCAGAATATATAAAGAACTCCCACAACTCAACAACAAGGAAGGCCAGACCACCCTGCTCAAAAATGGGCAAAGTGCTCGTATAGGTCTTTGACTTTCTCCAAAGATGACAGACAAATGGCTGATATGAACTTAAAAAGATGCTCAACAGCACTAGTTATCAGGGAAACGCAACCAAAATCATAGTGAGATGCCATCTCACACTTGCCAGGGTGGCTGTGAAACAACAGTAAACAGAAAAAGAAGGTTGGTGAGGATGTGGAGAAATGGGACTCTCGTACACTGTTGGTAGGATTGTGAGATACGACTGCTGTGGAAAGCATTGTGGGGTTCCTCAGAGCACTAAAAACGGAGCCACCTTATGACCCAGCAATCCCACCTCTGAGTATTTGTCCAAAAGAACTGAAAGCAGCGTCTCAAACAGATACCTGCACACCCGCGTCGAGTCACAGCAGTGAGAATCATAGCAGCCGAAGGTCAAGGCAACCTCAGAGTCCCTGGTTGGATGGGTAGTATACCCACACAGTGGAATATGAATCAGCCTTAGAAAGAGGAAATTCTCAGATGTGATCCAGCACAGGTGAGGATGTTGTATTAAGTGACAGAAGCCAGTCACGGAAGAACAAATACTGTGTGAGTGCACTTATGTGAGTTCTCTGGAACAGTCAAGTTCAGAGATAGAGTAGAAGGGTGGGGCTGGGGGTCAGAGGGGACGGAGAGGTGCTGCTTTATGGGATCAGAGGCTCAATTTTACAAGATGAAAAATTCTGGATGGTGGTGAAGGCTGCACACAAGAATGTGCTCGATGCCACTGAGATGTGCACGCAGAGCTGGCAAGATGGTGAAGTGTGTGTTATGTGCATTTTACCACCATTAAATATGGTGCTAACAAAACATTTTACCACCATTAAGTATGGTGCTAACAAAACATAATTGTTACCAAACATGCACACGCACATGCAAGGTATTAGTTAAAACAGGGAAAACAGTCCCTGTCCTTGAGGCACCTGTCGGGGGGCGACTCCAGTGTGGGTGCCACCATCGTGGCAGACCAAGGTGGGGGCCTCTACTGGGCTGAGGGCTCAGTCTTTCATGGAAAGAGATGGGAGACAGGAGGACAGTGAGTGGTGGCTGTGTAGCCTGGCCGCGTATCCTGTCTGCGGGAGCCCACAGGAGCCACACCCCTCACTGGCCATCAACTTTTGCTCCCCTGACTTCATGCTGCTCTGAATCTGGCTACCGCCCTGGCCAAGCCCCAGCACTGGGAGGTGTCCTCAGGCCTGAGGCCTCTGCAGTGCACACAGGGAGGCAGCTGGCTCACCCTCGGTGACTCAGTGGGTGGAACCTCCTGTGGGTTGGGATCATGCCATGCCCCTTGGCCTGTGGGGTGCCCTCCCCGCCCCCACTGAGGACCAGAACTGAGTGTATCACCCCTTACCCCCCACCCCTAGTGACTTCAGGGGCTCCCTGTTACTCTCTTGTGCTGTGAGTCCTATGCCATCGCCCGTCTGTCGCCCCCCGACAGTGACCCCAGCATGTGGCTGGTGGGTCACTCCACTGTGACCGTTGGCAGCTCCCTGGAGGCCTTGCATCCCTGCATCACCACCTCCCCGCCCGTGGCATGTCCTATCCTCTAAAGTCGCCTGGGATTCCCCTGTGTCCTGGGCTGCCGCAGCCCTGTCTATGTCTCTGCGCTGACCATGGTTCCCATGGGCCTCCCTGAAGCGCGTCCAGATGCCTTGGTCCTCCCTGCACATGGACCTGTGCTAGGGACATTCTGCTGCTGCCCCCGTATCCTCACATGGCGTACTTGTTCATGTGGGGAGGGTGAGTCAGTCCGCTGCTAGGGCACCAAAACCAGGCGGTCTCTTACCAGTTTGTACCTAGGTGACTGACCCTCTCCAGGCCTCCTCTTCTCTTGTCCATTAAATAGGACTGGAGTAGCCCTCACCTCCCAGGATAGTGGCACACGGCCGTAGAGCTTTGAGAGAGCGCCGATACAGCGATACAGTGAACGTGCAGTCAGGTCACACTATCAGGTCACTCTCCCTGTGAGTGATCCAGAAACCTTGCAACCCAGCCAGGCCTAGCGGCCTCCTCCCTTCCTGTCGGGTGAGAGGCACTGGCACAACTGTGGTCTCGAGCCAGGCTGGGATTTAGGTCAGTAGTCTCTGCTACGTTCTTGATGTCCTTGTCACACACCTGGGAGGACTGCGGAGGGGATACACGGGGCAGGGCCCGGTGTCTGAGCGCTGTGCTAAGTGCCGACCCTGTTCTTCATGACTTGTCCCACCCTGTCTTCATGACAGCCCAGTCAGGTGGATGTTGCTGTGCTCTTTAGAGGGGATACACAGGACAGGGCCCCGGTGTCTGTGCGCTGTGCTCAGTGCCGACCCTGCTCTTTACGACTTGTCCCACCCTGTCTTCGTGACAGCCCAGTCAGGTGGATGTTGCTGTGCTCTTTGCAAAGAGATAAAAGCGAGATGAGATGAAGCAAATTTCTCAGAGCTATGCAGCGAGTAGTGACAATGACGGTGATACAGCTGACACTAAAGCACCTACTATGTGCTGTTCTATGCATTTCACGTATATTGACTCACTAAATCTTAAACTGCTACCCCCCAAGTAAGTCCTATTTTTATCCCTGTTTTACGGATGAGAATCCAAAGAATAGAAAGACCAAATCACTTGACCACAGACACATGCTAAAGAGTGACAGGTCTAGGACTTGAACCGAGACAATCCTGACCAGACTTGGGTAGACTTGTTCTGCGAAGGGCTGTGTACTGCATATTGTAGGCTTTGCAGAGAATACAGTTTGTACACAAATATCAGCTCTGCCACAGACTGTGTAAGCAAACAAGCACGTTGTGTTCCCAAAAGACTTTATTTAGAAAACAAACAATGGGCCCATCTTAGCCCCCAGGCAGCAGCGTGTCTACCCAGGATCTTAACTCTACATTCAGAGGATGAGGGCCCAGAAGCACCTGGGCGCTCTGGGAAATTAAGCCATAGCTATGAACAAAGTGTCAACCTCGGGCTTGTCAGCGTGATACAGCATGCCGCCCATTTGGTGCCACTGTGACATTACTTACTGAAGAGAGACCACGCCAGGTGCCGCCTTCCATGCTTGGAAGACCCCAACAAGCAGAACAGACAGGACACACCTTCTGTGGGAGCTGGGAGCCGGTGAATAATGCTCATCAAAGACGTGTGGCACCCATCTGAGCCGTATGACATGCTAACCAGTGGGAGAAGGAAGGCATAGAGGGACATGGGAACAGGACAGAGAGGCCCAGGATGCCAGGTAGGGGTCACTGAGAAGGCAGCACATAGCCAGGACTTGAAGGAGGCAGGAGGCGAGCCATGTAGGTGTCGGGGACGAAGGCTCTCTAGGCAGGGAGAAGAGCTGGTGTGGTGGGAGCAGGAGCCTCATGGGACCGAGGGGCTGCAGAGACGGAGAGCTAATGGGCCTGGTGGGCAGCCCTGCAGCATGACGAAGATGTGCTTTCCCTCTCAGAGACCCGGGAGCAAAAGGGTGGCATGACTCAACCCGGGTGTGAGAGAATCCTTCTAGCTCGGGCTCATGTCTCGGGCTCAGATTTCCTGGATTTGGTCTTGGCTCTAATATAATTACTGGACCCACAAATTTCAGGCACCTTAATTAATAATGGTGTTCACCATATAGGACAGCTATGGGCATAAAATGAGGACATTCAGGCAAATCACCGAAGGCCGCTCCAGAGGCAGTGCACGCCACGAAGATGCTGGTTACGCTAATTATCCTTCCTAATAAACATACCACTTCACTGTGATGAGCTGTCCGTGAATGCGTGCTTCCACACGACGCAGGTGTGGCCTCATGGGCGGTGAGGCTCCATCGCTGCCCCACCTCCAGGCCCTACCACTCTTACTGGGTGGAGCGAGGCCACCATGGGAACATTACCCTCTGCAGGCAGGGACAACTTCTGGGTGCCACCACGACCACTAGAGCCCGTGGAGGACTGAGATTTCCTAGGAAGGGACGGTGCCTCTGAGGACTGGAGAACGTGAGGACAACAGGAGGGGAGGTGCCCACAGTGAGGACAACGTGCGCCTTTACCTGCTGCTGGGTGAAGGACGTCCCAGAACTGCGCGGCCAGAACAGTCAACCTCTGCTGCATCACACAATCTCGGAACCAGTCATCAGAGTGATGGCACTGGCCGAGGGTCTGCCAGGCCTTCTCATGAGGTTGCAGGCATCTGCGGGGGCCTGGCTGGGGTCTGTGTCCGAGATCGCTCCTGCATGTGGGCCTCCCACTGGCTCCTGAGTGTCCTGGGGACATAGCAGCTGGCTTCCCTCAGTGAGTGACCCAAGAGAGATGAAGCAGGAGGCTGCAGTGCCTTTTATGATCTGGCCTCAGAAGTGGCACATGATCACCTCCACCCGGCAGCTGTTCTTCAGAAGCCCACACTCTAAGAGAGGGACTCAAGCTCACCTCTTGAAGGTAAAGCATCAAATAATTGGTGGACACGTTTAAATCTACCACACTGGGTGTGTGAGCGTGGGGCAAAATAGTGTTGTCCTAGGTAGCACCAGTTCAGTTCTCAGAAAGTCTAGAACATGATTTGTACGAATGGAGTGAGCACGTGTCAGAGATTGTCATCATAACAAATGAAGGGGCCAGCAGGGGTAAGCCCACTCATAAGTAAGCCAGGACAGTGGAGAGGACTGTGGAGTGGGTTGGCTCCCTTAGATTTAAAGGGAACGCCTAGTGAAGTGCAATGGTGCTGTCTGCGGCTGTCTTGTCCAGCAAGCAGAAGTAATCTGCAAATTATCGACCTTCTCTAGCTCCCATCTAACTTCACAGTCCAGTATCTAATCCATAGTAATCTGTAAATCAGACAAAGTGCACTGAGGCTTCGGCAGCATGCAGAAGGCACACACGCTGGTTGTTTTGTCTTGCCGTCAAGTTTGGAAAACTTTCCTTAATAGGGATTTGTGTTCTCGTCCTCAGCTCATCCACTATTGTGTCTGTCCTCACTGCAGGCAGACAGAGCCAAAGAGACCTGCCAAGCCCTCAGCTCACTCCTGGGAGCAGGGGGTGTGTCCTGGCCTCATTCCTTCTTAGGCAGAATCAGGAGCCAGGGCAGTGGCCTGCAGGCACATGGTGCAGTGCTCTGGGGACAGGTCCCGGGGCAGATTCACCTGCCAGGTGAAACAAAAGCCACTTCTTTATAAGCACTTTGCAAATAAAACTCGTTTGCTTAAAACCACTTTGCCTACAGGCCAGCTCCTGGAGTTTCTTTCTTTTCTTTTTCTTTTTTCTTTTTCTTACAATTATTTCAGTATCATTTCTATTTGGTCAGTTTAATAGTTTGAATAAGCCTCTACATTCGCTATTTTTCTGGAGTGAGAAATATCCCATTAGCAGATGAATGTGACTCATGGGTTGCTTTCTATCCTTCGAACAACTTGGTATTTTATTTATTCTTGAAGACTCTAAGGGCTTTCTAACCATAAGCCTGAACACAGTTTCTGTAAAATTTGTGTCTCACAGTAAATGGTCATCAGTGGTACTCAAGACACAATTAAATTGTTTGTCATCATTCGGACCCGTCCCAGAGAGTGTAAGGGTGTCTTAAAACCACATGGATTGTTATAGTCACGCGAAGATTTTACCAGTGAGGGACTGAAGTCAATCATGAATAACTTGAGGCCGATTTGATTTCCTGAGGAAATCATCTGACATTGATGCCTAGGTGTCTGTCACAGCCTGATTGTCAATAGCAAATAACAGTGATAACAATATAAAGCACTAACAGTAACTGATCGCTGTAAACAGAGGATGCTGCATCTGGACAACAAGGCACAGCCATTGCATGAGGTGGCACTGCTGTCTGTCTTGTTTATTTCGCTGCATGAACAGCAGGTGGGAAGGAGTGCGGCTCTGCCACACCATGGAGGTCGCGTGTGTCCCTGCAGAGGGGAGACTGTGTTGGTGCTGAGGACAAGTCAGAGATTTCTTCTTTGCCAACCTGGATTTTCAGGTTTTTCTACAAGAACAGGCAGAGGAATGTCCCTGAGTTGGGAAGCCCCACCTCTAGTACCTTCTACAGCTTGTCCCGGAGGTCAGGGTGGTTAGGGTTAAGTCGCCTGGGAAGCCCTGCCTCTTTCGTCCTGGCAGTTTCAGGGCCCCTCCCTGGCATGCTATTAAAGGGCCCAGGTGACCTCATCCTCGTCCTGGTCCAGCAGGCTGATATTGCCGGCTCTGCCAGGGGGATGGAGTGTTCCTTGGGGAGCTGGCCGCATCCTCCAGCAGGACGGGGTCTCCCCGCTGAGCCCAGACCTAGGGTCCTCACACTGTGGAGTCTTTTACTTGCTAGGGGTCGGAGGACACTTACTACCCAACCCTGGCCAGCTCAGCCTGTGCCCACCTAAG